TCGCGCACTTCATCCTCTCGTTTCTCTTGGCAGCGTTGTCCGTTTTGTTTGCTAGGCAGTCTTTTGGCTCCGCTATCATCTCGCTGAGTTTATAACGAATCCCAATCTAAAAATAATAAAAAAGATCTGAGAATCACACGTTGTACATATTTATTTATAATTCGTCCAAATTCCCGATCGTTCATGCTCTCGACGGCTCTCAACATCCAGTTGTCTTTTCCTAAGATTCGTGTTTTTCTTTTTCAGCCTGCCTTCAACCCAGCCTTGATTTGTGCGGAGGTTCGCGATGACGACCCATAATGACTTTAGGTAGTCTGCTGCTTCAGCAACCCTTTGTCCAAGCTGGGCGTAAAGAGCAATATGGGACTCTTCACAAAGTAGCTTTCCTGTGCCACGTCCTGTACCTTGTAGTTGGTTACCCGTTCTGAATAGATAAAGGCTTCCGATCCAAGTTTGCCCGTTGCTGGGCATTAAGTCCGGCCACAGCCCGGCGTTGTTCATCTCGATCTTGTTGCTTGTGCTCGCGTTGAACGTCTTCTTCAGGTTCTTGCAGTGGTCTTCGCTCGCACGTCGCCGACGATCTTCGCGGAGAGGGAGGTGTTTCGTTTCCTTGACTGAATAGGTACTGAGCTCAACGGCGATAAGGAATTTCTGGTGAGTGACATGAGTGAGGAAGTCAAGATCAATGGGCTGCCGCAGTCGAGTGCAGCCCCTCCAGGCACGCCAGATGCATCTATGATGCTAAGACGGCAACAAGCATTGGCATCGCCAATGTCTACGGTTGCCGCTCCTCTGATAAAGATTACGCAAAGTCCTTGCTGGGGCACGTGTTGCGAACCCACCACAATGTTGTACTACAGTTTCCGAAGCATTATGTTGTAAGCGATGGTGGAGCTGTATTAGTTTTTAGTCTTTTTTTCTGCAGCTCGGCTCGGGTGAGACCAGGCTGCAGATAGAAGAAAAAAAATGCTTGTTTTTCCGCTAAGAACGTTTGGGATTGAGTAGGAAACCTCGCGGGTGACAGCCCCCTCGTTATACATGCAGCATACACCTAATGACCATATAGCAGTAGTAGATCATCCACCGTATACTGAGACTGACCAGAGCAAAGTTTAACCTCAAGAAGCAGTGAGCTAGCGGGGATCGACACATCATCATCACAGACCACCATGCCCTTGCCCTCTCTATCTATTCTAGGGGGTAGCTCCGTGTAGGATTCTGCTGGGAGAACGTCTGCCTCTTGGGAATTCCACTAATCCTAAACTTTGGGGACTCTACTGTAGACTGTTGCTTTTGCCTCTTTACATTGTGCTACACACACTATCCATTTGACTGAGATGGTAAATACCTCTTTATGGTGATAATATTGATGCTGACTATACTTATAATATGCATCATATTATGACTGTAGCCCCCCCATATAGACCTACTTCCACATTTTGCCAATGAAAACGTAGTATTTAGATCATGCCCTACTCCGAAAATATCAGCCCGAAAAACGGCTGGTATCTCGAGATAACAGATCCAAAGGTCATGCCTAGGGCATGACTTTCTCGTTTTTTTT